AGTCCCACGGCCCAAGCTGTCACCCTTTTCTATTTAAGCTCGGATGAAGCCATCCGATGGCTTCATCCGGGCTGGCAAGTCCAGGTTGTCACACTGCTCGGTCGAGGGCATTCACATCTGCACTCGTTGCGGTGTTCAGAAGCATGTTCCACCGGGCCGTATAACACCCTACACCGTAGCACCATACTGCTCGCAAGCCTAAAACCGAGACCCTAAAGCTATCCTCTTCGCATCAGCCCTCCACTCTCAACACCTTTGTAGACGGATATCCCGGGCTCCAGCCCGAGTGAGGCCTTGGGCGGTTTGGGGTTCCGCGGCACGGCGACAACCCACCCAAACCTTGCTAGCGGCGGAACCTGAATTGGACCCAAGACCTCCCAAAACCTCAAAGAGAAGGAGCCTACGACTTGTTCAGGGGAACATGTAAGAAGATCTCCAAAATCGGGTCCCGTTGAAGGGGTTTCTCATTCTAAAACCTATTTCGAGAACCTTCTCAGCAGGAGCCCGGTAGACAGCATACAAAGCATTCACCCTAAGCTCCCCAAAAGCCTGGAGCCTAAGACTTGGACCCCTTGACACAGGGCTTCATCCCCAGCCCCTGACCCGAGCCCTCCTCTGGGATCGCGCCGAACCCTGGTGGGAGCCGAATCGGCGCCCCATCATCCGAACTGGGTCACCACGCTGCGTGTGAATGGGTGATCAAATACAAGCCAGTCATCCGCATTTTGAGTCAGGCTTCGGGGGTTATCGTGACGTAACGTGAGATGTAGGGTTTCCGGGCTTCGGATTTTGCCTGTCGCGATGCTTAAGGGTGAAGGTTCCTCTTCACTAGAAGCAACAACAGCAGCAACAGCACCAGCAACAGCAACAGTTGCTGCCAACAAAGCTTCGATTTCTATGTTAAGTGACTTAATAAATTTAAAACCCTAAACTACCCTAAACCCTAAACCCTAAACCTGCATGGCATGTATCACGAAAAAGCCAAGGCACTCGGAGTCATCTTCGAGCTTTCCTGTCGGCCGCTTCTCTCAGAAGAGGCTGCAGAATTTCAAAACTGCTTATCCGGATCGTTTAGGGTTTGGGCTGTTGAAACATTTCCTGCATAATGGCCTCAGGGCTTGTAGGATTCAGGACAGGGAACCCGCTGGATCAGAAAGCGATGCAGAGCCCTAATTAAGCGCCAGAAGCATCCTCAGGAATTTCAGCCTTCGACACCTGATCGTAAGAGTCCAGTAACCTGTACAGTAGCTTGGGATCTGCAGAGGGCATGTTCTGTCCGCAACAAATGCATGGAAGCTTCTGATGGGAACAGCATGTACTAAAGAAGCCTGAACAATGCTACAATGAGGCTAGGGCTTTGGAGGCACTTGTACTGTAAGTATACAATGAAAGCACTTGTGGCTTACACCTGCCGCTTAGCAGACTGGAAGTATCTAAGGAAACCTCAGCGAACAAGCAACGCGCCCGACTCACTAGGGCTCCCTGCGCTTCACTCCTTTGAGAGTCGGGGGCTGGTCGCCGATCCCTTCCTGGGGTCAAGGGCTGAAAGCGCTTATCCGGTTTCTCGGTGCTTTTGCCGCCTTTAGTCTTGCCTTGTTTAGCTGGGACGGAGCCCGCACAATGTGCAGTAAGGCTTACGGTTTCGGGTGTCGGGGTAAACGGTTTCGATTGAGGGCCCTGTGCAGTCCGATCCGGTTTTATGATCTTGAAAACTCGGTTCCCGCTAGCCACAGAAACCGCCAGCACCTGCAACATGAAAGACATAAACCAAAAGCAACATCCCACGAAGCCTAAGCCTTCGAAGCCGCCCACCACAGTCTCCGAATCCATTTTTCAGGATTTCGGCATCTCTTCAGCCCGAAACCCGAGCCTGTTTCGCGAAGCGCGGCCGAGCACTTTGGGACCTCGCCAACAGGTGCTCAAGAGGTATGACTTATGTACTATAATGTAATCAGTCTACTATACTATGCTTATGATACTGTACTACACTACACTATACTACACTATACCACACTATACTACACTACGCTACGCTACACCTGCAATACACTACACTACACTACACTCTAGCTCTATGACACTAGACTGCGATACTATACTATACTGTACTACCTTAGTCAATGTAACTAACATAACTTAGTAGAGGGGCTTTCCACGGTCAGGAGGGGATGGATTTATCCGGCGATATGCACGGCAGTGCATGCACAAGGGTTGCGGGGCAAGTCGCGCAGCAAAATGATCGAGTACGGAACTTTTGGCATCTTGCTGGCCATGTAAATAGTAAACTTATGGTGGCATCGTGCGTGAAAACCTGGACATCTTGAAAACTGCGAACGAAATCGACAACAGGTGTCTGAGCAGGGAACAGCTCAGTCTTCACCTGGCGCGACGGAGGGACGTCAGGTGTGTCACAGCATTTCCTGACTTCTGGTGGGCAGCTTCCTGCCGGTAGATCCCACACTCATGCTGATGTGGAGTCCCAAAGGACGTCCCCATCACATGCCATGCCAGCCCTTAGAACCTCAACAAGACATGCGTGATGCGTAAAGCTATCTCTGGCTGTTATGCTGTTGAAGTTCTCCCCTGGACCGCTGGCCTAAAGCAATAGCTCGAGCCTCTCTCACTTCGGTCAATTACACTCAGCGACTCCGTTTGGGAAATAACTCCCAGAACTGTTTTCTTACCAAGCTCTCACCATGATCAGCAGTAGCTGCCCATCATCACTCTTATCATGCTCGCAATTTCGACATTCGATTGCAAAACCCTCAATCCCTGAACCAAGTTCTACTGGGACGCCTGTGCCTGGCCTGTGCCCTTTTAGGTCGACGGAACTTAGACAGACGTAAGCCATATTCCTGGGATGGCGTTTCGAGGGTGGACATGCCAGCGCTGTTAGGGGGCTGGGTGGTGCCATAGACCTGAATAATGTAGGAACCTGATTAAGGAACCCTGGACGTTTACTAGGGTTCTTAATATGAACCTTAATATGTTGGGGTTGTAGGGCCAGGGTTTCTTAAACAGGTTCCTACATAAGGCAAGGGTCACTCTAGCCCAGAAAGGCGCAGCTGTGAGCCGATCCCTCCACACATCAAGTATCATCATGACTTCTGTTTAGATTAATGCCCCTATAGCCCAAACATATGAGGACTCATAGTAAGAACCCCAATAAAGAACCAGGGGTCTGACTTCATCAGGTGCCTAGATTACTCATCATTCAGAGCCCCTAAACCCTAAACCCGTAGCCTAAACCCATCATTCAGAGCCCCTAAACCCTAAACCCCAAAAACTCCTTCAAAGCTTGCCAGCCAAGCTCTGGCCATGGCTTTAAGAGCGGAGCTGCCAGGGAGCCCCGGCCCCGGGCCAAGGCAGCCCCTGAGGTCAGGCTTTAGGGGGTTAGTTCTTTTTTTTTTATATTTTTGTTAGGGTTTTTTCTTGTTAAAATCTTTTTGTTAAGCTTTTTTGTTAGGGTTTTTTTGTTAGGTTTCTTGTGTTAGGGTTTTTTGTTATAGAGTTTAGGAGCTTTTGGGGGGTGAGGGTTTTAGGGGTTAGGGCCAGCGGTTCGGGCACGTCACGGGCATAGGGTTGCTTTGATTCTTTATGCTTTTGGGAGAAGGCGAAGGAGGGGGGGGGTGGGGGCTTAGAACAGTGGAGGCTCTGAGCATTTGGGTCGAGATTTCAGCTGGGCTAATGGTGGAGGCTTTTGGAAGGCACCACATGGTTCACGTGAGCCTCTCTAGCTTTCGAAGAACATCCTAAACTGCTTGCTACCGCACATTTGAGGAATACTATACTTCTTGATCCAAGGGGCCTTGTGAGAAAAAGCAGGAGAGGCTCTAAGGATTTGGGTCAGGATGTCAACTGAGCTAGTGGTGGAGGCCTTGGAACTTCAAACGCACCGCACGACTCACATGAGCCTTTCTGGTGCTGAACCTCCACAAATCCATATCAACCCGACTCTCTCCCGTCCCCCGCCCACCCTCCTTTGGCCTCTCTGGGGAGGCCAGGCCCCAAAACCCTTCTGCTGAGCCAGATCATATACTTCAAAAGCTATACGCTGCATGTGGGGAGGAAGGGTAATCGGCTGGCTTGGCCCATGAGTTGAAAATTTATGACATGCTTCACTGTTACAGAGCTTGTGCGCAGCAAGCCCATGAAATCACCTTCAGGTGCTGACATCATCCGTATCACCCCAAGCTACACCAGGGGCGCCCCTCGAATCTTTGCCAAGACTTTTCCCCCACCTTGATGTCTTCGACCCAACATGTGATCCGAACCCCAGACGCAGCCAGGCGGCCTAGGCCATAGTAAAAGCGCCTCTAAATCGGATTCTTGCATGTGACCAGGAGGTAAAAGCCCACTCTCATGTAAGGGTCCAAAACTTGATCTTAAACCACAGCGAAGCACACGCATTTGTTGCTTTTGTTCACCATCTGCGCGGAGTGAGGGTGAGAGAAGCCGAAGGAGTTCTTGAGCTGCAGGTTCGTCATGAAACCCACCTGACACGTGCAGGATCTCGCAACGTTTCTCAATCGCGCCAGCTGACTCATCAGCACCGCGTTTTTTTTGTTCCACTGGTTGCCTGGTACTTGGTATGTTGTATGGACAAGGCTCGCAGGCTATCGCCTCCTCACAAATCAGCATGGGCACGCGGGTGGTCTATACTTAGAAATAAGTCGCTCACTGGATTAGTGGAAGGCGCTCCGTGCGAAAACCGATAAGCTGCAAGTCCATCTCAGCTTCGAGGCTGAGGAACCATGTCTCAGCTCAGAAGGCGCGGCTGCGCTTCACCTGGAAACCGCGGGGCGGTCAGATCTCCGCCATCTTTTGGCGACGCTCTCTTTCACTGACACAACTGCCGCATCAGCGGTGCTAGACTAGGCAGAACATGACAGTGCCCTGTGCCGTGTATTCTGCTTCAAGTTGACCGCGCAGCTGCGCCTCTGGTTGCCATGCGCGGGCAGCTGGCCCTCCACCTCCAATCGACAGAGCCGTGCCTAGGCCTAGGCTGGCGTTGCCCCATCGCCGGACTTGACTGCCTGCGGCGCATCTCTGGCCATGTGTTGACATGCTACACACTCTCTGGCACTGCCCTGAGCTCCTTCTGCAGGCCCGCGTTCAAGCGCGCGCGCGCGTGTTACTCTCAATATGTGCTAGTCTGTTCCGTGAGCCGGGCCGGCCTTTCCCTGCAACTCTTTGCGCTTGGCCAAGGCCTCCTGAAGCAAAGCTTTCTGCCTCTCGACCTGGCACCGGCAATAGAGAGGAGACATCTCAACAAAGCGATGTCAAAGGAAGCGGGAGCGGCCTGAGCTTTCTTCTCGAAGTAGGCATCGGCGAGGCTCTTCTTCAACGCAGCGGGTCGGAGCGCAGGATGCACCGCGGGGGGCACAGCGGTGGACACGGGGAGCGCAGGAGCCGCGGGGGCCGCGGGGGCCGCGGGAGCCGGGGTTGCCATGGGCTTTGCAGGAGCCGCGACCTCTGCGGGCTTTGGGATCACCTGGCTGCGCTCAGCGCGCATTGGGGCTTGTGGAGCCTGGATGGGCTCAGGCGGTGATGGGGTCGGGCGACGCTTCTCAGAGCGGTCTTTGGGACTGGGGGGCGATGCAGCTGACGCTGAGGCATCTGGGAGCACTGGTGGCGGTGGCTTGGAAGGCTCTGGGCTCGGTCCGGCGGAAGTAGCTGGCTGAGCTGGCAGGCGTCGTGGCCGCGCCGGGAAAAATGTGTTTCTGGATCGCTTGCCGCGCATTCGAGCCTTAAGCTTTTCCAGTTGTTGCTGCTTGATTCCAAGCTGAAGCTGCAAGAGCTGCTTCTGCGTCATCTTCAGCTTCTGTTCAAGCACATCTCTGCCCTTCTCGCCCTTGGCCTTCGGCAACTCCTCGTCGGCCTCAGGTGGTGCTGGGGCCGTGACATCCACGGGCTGTGCCCAGTCGGACGTGTCGGAGAGACGCCTCCGCATCTGCTGCCTTCTGAGAAGAGCGGCTTCGGCTGGGGACAAATCCGCGGCATCTGGACCCGTCGGCTTCGGAACCAACACGTCCATGAGCGCCGCGGCCAAGACCTCCTCCGGTGCCCGCCTCTTTTGCGGATTCGTGCCGGGCCGCAAACCGGACTGCCGAGAAGAGGACCAGTTGATGTCCGCAGCCACGATCTCCACATCACTGTCGCTGCTGGGGCCCCTGGGGTCGTCAGCTGCCGGCTTGCGGGTCGCGGCGGTCACGGAGACGAGTTGAGGGGATGAGATGGCCTTGGCTTTGGCCGCTCTGGCCGCACCCTTGGGCTCTGGAGCCTTGGGGGCCATGGCGGCTGTGGCTGTGCCTGTTGTCTTTGGCGCCTTCTTCTTCTTCCGCTTCACTTTCTCTGGCCTCTCTCCGAGTGCCTCGTTTTGGACGGGCTTCGGCTTCTCCGCCTCCTTGGCGCTGGACTTCGGCGTGCCAGCTTTGACGGGAGGGGCCGGAGCGGATGATTTTGCCGCTGAGGGCTTTGCCTGAGGAGTGGATGGGGTCGACTTGGGCTCCGCCCCTTTTGGCTTGGGTGGTTTGGTACTTGCAGCTGATTTGGCTTTTGGGGCTGCTCGAGCCGCGTTGGACTTGACTTTAGGCTTGTCTTTGTCTTGCTTGGCTTTGGCACTGGCATCCGTCTTCGGCTTGGTCGCCTTCGTGGGCGGTCCAGCTGGTGATGTGGAGGAAGCCGATGAGGACTCAGACTTCTTGGTCACCGCTTTCTTTGCTATGGTCTTCTTCACCGGAATGGCATTGGTGGCCTTCGGCTTGGGCCGTGCCGGCGATGGCGAGCTCGAAGAGGACGGCGGAGGCTTCTTCTTCACAGCGGGCTTCTTTTGATCTGCTTTGGCTGTCTGCTTCTTCGGTGAGGTTCGACTCTCATCGCCTCCCTGCGCCTGCGGCTTCGGAGTCTTGGGAGGGGCTTTTGGCGGCGTCTTGGCTGAAGTCTTTGCTGTCTTGGCGGGAGCCTTAGCAGGCGATGAGCTGGAGCACTTGGCCCGTGCTTTCGCCTTCCGGCGGCTGAGTTTCGTGTCCGAGCTGGAGCTTTTGGGCCTTTTGACTTTACTCACAGCAGGCTGAGGCTTCTCCTTTCGCTTTTGGGCCTGGGGCGATCGCCGCCTGGCATCTCGGCTGGCAGAAGACGAGGCCTTCGCCACGGCGCGCCGGCGCTTCGCCGAGGGCCCGCGGCCCGCGGACCGACCACGCCGGCTGCGGCTGCGGCGGCTGCGCGAGCGGGACCGCTTTTGTCGCTTCACGGATCGCTTCGCCGGGGACCGCTTGGGCGATCTCCGGACCGGCGACCTCTTGGGAGATCTTCTGGGCGACCTCTTGGGAGACCGCTTCGGAGACTTCGCCGATCTCCTGGGCGACCGCTTCGGAGACCGCTTGGGCGAGCGTTTCGGCGATCGCTTCCGTTCCTGGGACCGGTCCCGGCCCTTCTTGGGGCTGGGCGAGCGTCTGCGAGCTCTCCGGCTTCGGCTGCGGCCCTGGGACCAGCCTCTCAACTTCTTCTCCTTCTCCATCTTTCCCTTCTCCGCCTTCTCCTGCACTGCGTATGACAATTCCCCTCATCATGCGCTAAAAGAAGGAAAGTCCCTTGTTGGGGCCAATTGGACCGGGGCCTTCTCCTCTCTTTCTCGCGCGGACTTCGCGGCCTTCTTTCTTGCTTCCGTGCCCTTCTCGTCCAGGGCAACGTTGGCAAACAAGCCTAGGCTCTCGGGAACACGGCCTACTTACTAGTTACTATAGTTACTAGACTGGCGCCGTGGCTTCCGCGAATCCTCCCCTCACACTCCCACATGCCCTGGCAATGCCAAGCGCAGGATCCGCAACGTGCAAGCCGAGCTGCTCTGGTCCTTGCCTGTGTCCGCCTGCAGGTGGAGCTTTGCCAAGGAAAGACTGAGACATCGGCTCTGGGAGCCCACGGCCTCTTCGCCCGCCTTTGGGCCTTTGACCTCCTCCTTTACATCCTGTGTCTGGCTTGTCAGGGCTTCGGTGTTGCTTCCTTTGGTCTCCGCATGCAGAGGGACAAGCAGCCCTGGGCAAGGTGGCATCTGCATATCTCAAAGTCGAACGAGCCGGTTCCTGGGGGATGTCAGAAGACTTGGGCTCGATGGTCGCAAAAGGAGCCAACGCAGCTTCCAGTTCAGCCTCGGATCATCGGTAGAACTCTGCAATCACGTGTGGCAAGCTGCACCCCAAACCAGACAGACAGTAAAGACGGGCCACAAGCTTTCGCAGTTGTTCTTCTTTCGCCTGCCGTGATCAAGGAAAACCGTCCATGCCGCGTGCATGCCGCGTGGCTACGGCGAGCCATCGCCTTGTCTTGGTCGACGGGGCCATCCTCGGGGCTGTAGGCCGATGCCTCGAAAAAAGGGCTCCACGGAAGGCCGCTGCAAAGCCGACGAAACGCAAGAGCTAGGCAGATACGCTACGCTCTAGACTCTCTAGACATGACAGATCTCTGATGTCGGCGCCTCGGCTGGCGATGCCTCGGCCTGGCCCTTGCTCGGGCTGGCTAAGGCCATCGGCGAGGCCGGGCTTTCCGCCGGGCTTTGGGGTGCCTCGGCTGTAAGGCAAAGGCAGCCTCACTTGAAAAAAGGTCGAACGAGCTGAGGCGGTCATCGGAAGCCGAAGTGCGTCTGCCTCCTCGCCCGAAACAGGAGCTGCATTCGGAGCTGCATCAGGAGCCACCTCAAAAAAAGAGCAACGGGCGATGTGAGCAGCATCTGAGCACGCAGGCCAGGTCTTGCCAAAGCCTCATCTTGACTGCCCGATGCTGCTTCGGCTTCCACAGGCAGATCCTGCCGATTAGTGAGCCAGCTCTACTTCACAATTCATTCCTACTTCACAAGTCTCACAATTCCCAGGTGGGTCCTTCTCTTGGGTCTTCTGCTCTTCGTCTTTCTGCGCGCTTTGGACCTTACAATGGCATCAGCGGCTCCAACCTGCCGTAGGGGCTCCAAGGAGCTCCAGCCTCTTTCTCGTCTTCTTTCATGTCTGCGGGCAGGGAAGGAGCTTCTACGGCCTTTGGCATCACATCCTGGGCACATTCGGCTGTCTACATGAAACCGAGAAACCGCCCCAGGCGTCGGACACACCGGAAGCGCAAGCGCAGTAAAGCTGTTGCTTAAGTGCTGTCTCCTTTCGCCAACCATAAGACCAGACAGTAGGACCATACCGAAGGCAAGGCACGCTCTCTTGATCTGTTGGCTTGGAGGCCTGTCAGATGCGTGCAGAGGTTTTCAACAAGGGTTTTACGACCACGACCAGCTCGAGCTTCCTCGCCTGGGGCTCCTCCTCGCCGGCCTGACTAGTTGTCGAAGCTGCAGAGCCACAGCGGCGCAAGCAAAACTGCAAGAGCCTCTGGGCCTTTCTAAACCTAAAACCCTAATTAAACCCTTTTGCAACAGGCTTCGTACTTCGCCTGGAGTCGGCCGCCGCTGAAGCCCAGCAGCTTAAACCCTAAACCCTAAACCCTAAACCGCAGCAGCATGAAAAGGAAATTCGGGAGGGTTCTGCCTTCTCAGGCTCAGCATCTCCAGAGCCATCCGGCTCGGCCGTTTCAGTGCATCCGGCCGCGGCCGCGGCATCCGAGGGCGCGTGCTCCTTTCCAGGCAACTTTGAGCCGTCTCACACTTCAGCGGGATTTGTTGGTATGCACCTCTTCAGCTGTGACTTTCTCTTCCACGGGCTCCTCGTCGACAGAAGGGCGTGATTAGATTTCTGCCGCGCAATGTCTGTTTAGCCGACGACCGGCATCAAGCTCTTTTCAAGTTCTCAAGGATTTGATCGGTGACCGATGATGCAAGCTGCCAGACATTATGCGACTGTAACTTCGACTTGCAAAACATGTGAGATGTCCTTGGGTCGTTGCTCCTTCACATCAACCTCTTCAGCCTCGACTTGTGCAGCGGCAGCGGCAGCTTCGCCACCCTCCGCTGAAAAACTCATTCGGCAGCCACGGCAAACGGGCACAAAGTCGTATTGCCGTGCCTTCTCGCTTTCCTTGTGATTGTCCTGTGCTTCAGCAAGCGAAGGGTCCTCCGGCACCTGGCGCAGGACTCTTTGACAGAGGGCGAATCCAAAACTAACAGCAACTCAAGGCGAAAGCCCTTCCGAAAGCCTTCAAGGCTCTGGCGCAGAAACCCTCAGGGCCTGGGTGTTCTCCTGTGGGCGCTCTGTCTCTGCCTGTAGCCAGTCTGGATCCCAGCACAAGCCAGTGATGAAGCGCGGCACAAACTACCAGCAACCGGACCGATGCGGTCTGAAATACTTGAGCTGCTCTAGCAGCGTGCTCACGCAAGGAGATGCTAAAATCCGGCAAAGCTTGTCAGCAAAGCCCATATATTCGGCCTCAGCAACCGAGGAGTCATCGCACGGCATGCGGCGAACCACCTCGCTCTCAAGCGTGGGCCACAGGAGCACATCTTGAGGATGTGTTACTGACAAGTTTCAGGTTCCCAGGTGCGAACCGCACTACGCAACAAAAGTTCGCCAGAACCCGAAGACTCAGCCTCTTTGAGCGTGAAGCCGCCAACCTTCGGCCTGTCCCAAGAGCAGATAGCTCTTCAGGAAGTAAAATACTTACAATCTGTATGGCAAAGCCGTTGCTTCGAAGCAACAGGAAAAGCTGGGTGACGCCTGCAGCGCTATGGCCGCTATGGCATGCATCGCTGCACTTGCCCTATCAAAGAGCTCCCGAAGCTGAGGCTTGGGTTTTGGGGTTTGAGGGTGTGTCTATACTTGCCTCGTCAAAAAGAAAGTCTTCAAGTGGCTTTGCAACTCAAGTAGCTCCACTGGGCGGCATCAAGGTGGGTGTCCTTGCTTGGCTATTCCGTTGCATCTTCCGCGTGCTGTAGCGGAGTAGTAAGCCGAAAGGGCGGTCCAGCAACAACAACCGAGACTGGCAGCTGCAAACAAGAATCTGATCTTCACGCAGGGTGCCACAGGGATCTATATGGTTCTATGAAGGCTTGGTTCAAGGTTGCTCCAAAATCTTGCCATAGATAGCAACGGGCAACTCGCCGGGAACACCCAACTGTTCAGCGCCGAGCTTTGCTTCCGGCCGATGACGAACCCACCCTGCCAAACTCGCATCGATCTTGCGTGTGCAACCAAAAATCACGGTCTGAGCTGTTCTACCCGTTTGCTTTTTTGATTCCTCTTCCCCGCCTTCGTCTCATGACACACACAGAGGCCCTCAATTCCACTTCTCGTCGAACGTTGGGAAGCCGAGTTATGCACAACGTGCTGCAATACATCGGCAGGATGCCTTAGCGTGCAAGCTTCACTTAAGAAGGGCGCCCTCCTGATCCTGAGAGTCTTGGAGAGCCCTCCCGCATGCCCCAAGGCCTCTTCCCTCGTAGCCCATACATGCCACACGCTCATGCGGCGCTGCTGCCTGCCCCACAGGAGCTTGAAGGTGAGTATCAGCCAAAGCCTACAACCCCTGCTTCTAACCTCTCTCAAGTCGTTAGAGTCGAAGATTGTGTGCCGGAAGTATGAAGTACCTGAATGAACCTCCCGGGCCCCATTGCGTGACAATCCTGGACTTGCTGGAATAGGCCGGGAGGATCTCTCCAACTATTCAACTGAGCAGAATATGAGTATCAGATAGGACGCAGTGGGAATGTGGAAATTTGCGAATGCAGCAATCACCCACGGACACTCTGAGATTGCCACCTCTGGTTGTTGCATGTCGGAGCCACTTCATGGACAAGGGCTGCTTGTCTGCTTATCTGCGCTGTGAGCTGCTTGCTCGTCAGTGCTCAACACACCCTTCCAATTCAACGCATGTTGGAATGTGCAAAACAGCCATGCCCACTTGTGTTGCTGAGGCTTTCCACTTAATACCCCACTTAATATCACAGACTTATGTCGTCCGCATCCTAGCTCC